GGGAGCAAGCGCCCCGGTGCCGTCGACGGGGTGAGGGGGCGGCCCGACAGATGACGGAGCTGGGAAGTGGGGGGACACGGAGCAGAGCTGAAAGGGTGGGAGTGAGTTGTCAGGGATGGATGGTCGGGAGTGGAGGGTGCACACGAGTCCCGGTGGGTCTGCTCGGGAGTGAAGGAGGACGAGGCAGAGGCATGGTTGGGGCCGAAGAAGGTGAGGATTGGGGTGCTGGGCCACACACAAGTGATGGCAGAGGCAGATTGAGGGGGTACAGGTCGTGGAAGGCTGCTCGTGAGGGTTGTTGGTATTGGAAAGGGGATGGCGCATGGGAAGCAGGCTTTTTGGACAGGGGGGATGAGAGAACAGTAATGGGGAAAGCAGGTGGAAACAGCCCAAGAGCCGATGTATGGAGTGGGTGTGTTTTCAGAGGATGCAGAAGTCATGAACTAGACAGCCGACTTGGGGCTAATTAAAGATGTGAATCCTTCAGAAGTAGGAAAGGGCTTTCAACTTACAGAGATGTTTCTCTCTTCTGGTCACTAACGATGGCAGAATAAAGACACAATCTTAGGCAAGTTTAGACAAAGAAAATGCCTACAGCTCCTAGCATGGCAACTCCCAGCTGGCTGGGACATACTAGACTAAATGTGTCTAGGATTGCCCCTTAAATGATGAAAAATGCCATGCTTGCATATTTGCTTAGCCATGTGTCAGGTCATCAGGCAAGAAAATCTTGCCTCAGGCAAGATTCAATCACAATTCACTAAAGTGGCTATGCAGGCTAGTAATGTCTGCCACGTTCCTTGCAAGATTGAGACCGGTAGATACAACTAGTTTTCTTAGTGCAGGACTGTGTTTTACAAGCAACAGTTACTGGAAACCAAGAAAGCTGGGATCAGTGCCCAGCCCTGAGGGGCTCAGGGAGGATTCTGCACCCGGCTGCACCCAGCACTCAGCCTTTCCTGCACACAGTGAAGAAATGTCGTGCAGCTTCGCCCTCGCTTGAGCCCAGAGAACATCCGGGTTTCTTTCCTGCTCTTGATTCCTGCCACTAACCCGCCCTCTTGTTTTCCCCCGAATTCCCAGTCGATTGACCTGAAGAAGCCCATTGACAAGCGGATCTACAAGGGGACGCAGCCCACTTGCCATGACTTCAACCAGTTCACAGCCGCTCCAGAAAGCATTTCACTGCTCGTCGGATTCTCGGCAGGACAAGTGCAGTGCCTGGATCTCATCAAGAAAGATACCAGCAAGCTTTTCAATGAGGAGGTGAGTCCAAGCCTTCTGGAGAAGCAGCGCTTGAGAGGGTCGGTCCAAAGTGGAATTTCTTCGGTTGCCCTCCAAAGTCCGTGTGGCTGAGTGGAGGGAGGGGGGAAATCTCCTTGGCTCGTTCGGCCTCTGATTATCCAAGCCTTTTGTGGCTTATTGTCGCTTAATGGGTAGATTGATCAAGACATGATTTTAATCGGTCGCTGGAGGTCGCGTTCCCCTGCGCCCTGCCAGCATTATCACAAAGGTGCCTGGAGCCTTTTCAGTCCAGCTGCAGGATATTGTGAGCAGCGGTATGGGCATGGGGCGCTTGTAACGTGCGCTTAATGGCTGAAGACGAGCCGTTCTTCTGCCGTGCTTGGTTCTTGCTAGAGCTGTCTGCACCAAGTACGTTGTGGGGGGATGTCCCCGGGGCACGGGGCACGGATGGCAGCTTGGGACCCGGGGTCCTCTTACGCTGGCTCCCTGCCTTCCTCGACAGAGGCTGATCGACAAGACGAAGGTCACCTTCGTGAAGTGGATCCCCGAGACCGAGTCCCTCTTCCTGGCCTCCCACGCCAGCGGCCACCTGTACCTGTACAACGTGGAGCACCCCTGCGGCTCCGCCTCGCCGCAGTATACTCTCCTCAAGCAGGGTGAAGGCTTCACGGTCTACGCCTGCAAGAGCAAGAGCACACGCAACCCGCTGCTGAAGTGGGCGGTCGGCGAAGGAGCGCTGAACGAGTTTGCCTTCTCCCCCGACGGCCGCTCCCTGGCCTGCGTCAGCCAGGACGGCTGCTTGCGTGTCTTCCATTTTGACTCCATGCTCCTGCAGGGGATGATGAAGAGCTACTTCGGGGGCCTGCTCTGTGTGTGTTGGAGCCCGGATGGGCGCTACATTGTGACAGGAGGCGAGGACGACCTGGTGACGGTCTGGTCCTTTGCGGAGGGCCGGGTCATTGCCAGGGGCCATGGCCACAAGTCCTGGGTCAATGCAGTGGCCTTCGACCCTTACACCACCAGCACAGAGGATGAAGAGAGTGGGGAGTTTAGCGGGAGCGACGAGGACATCCAGGACTCCACGAATTTCAGCAGGGTGCGCACCAGCAGCACCCTGTCCCACCTCTCCAAGCACAGCACCAAAAGCGCCCCCTCGGTGACGTACCGCTTTGGATCTGCTGGGCAGGACACCCAGTTCTGCCTTTGGGACCTAACAGAAGACGTCCTGTATCCTCACCATCCGCTCTCCCGGGCCCGAACACTCACAAATACCTTCAGTGCTGGCATTCCTCCTTCGGGCAGCGGCGGGAGCAACTTGGCGGCCGAGTCCAGCGGGGGTGCCCTTCCTCGCTCCCTGTCCCGCTCCAACAGCCTGCCCCACCCAGCCGTCACCAGCGCCACCAAGAGCCACGTGGCCGACGGCACGGTGCCCTTCAGCATCGGCAAGTTTGCCACGCTCACCCTGCAGGAGCGCAAGGACAAGAACGCAGAGAAGGAGCACAAGCGCTACCACAGCTTGGGCAACATCAGCAAGAGCAGCGACAAGCTCAACGTGGTGCCCAGGAGCAAGCTGGACACGGCCAAGGTGCTGGGCACCGCCCTGTGCCCCCGCATCCACGAAGTGCCCCTCCTGGAGCCCCTGGTCTGCAAGAAGATCGCCCACGAGAGGCTGACGGTGCTGCTCTTCCTGGAGGACTGCATCATCACCGCTTGCCAGGAGGGACTCATCTGCACCTGGGCCAGGCCAGGGAAGGCGGTAAGTGAAGCGGCACCCGCTGCCGGCAGGGGAGCCGTGGGTGGCGTCCAGGGTTGCTGTGGCCGTTGCGTTTGGAGGCCGTGTCCGACCAAGGGAGGTCCTCATGGCGGGCAGGGCTGCAGCTTGGCTGTGGGGCAGGCGCTGTGCCTGCAGAAGGCCCCCGCTCTGGTCTGGCGTCTCCAGGTCAGCTGGGAAAGAGCCGCCTTGGAATCCTGGGAAGCTTTGTAACATGCAGTGCCCGCAAGGGGGGTAGAGCCCCCCCCCCCCCCGACTGCAAGGCAGCTGCTGATTTTCTCAGGGCTCCAGATATGCTCGGGCAGAGAGGGCCCCCGGGGGCCTGAAACGCCGCTTGGGTCTCGCTGGAGGCCATGGGGCAGGGGCTCTCGATTCCTGCCGCTTTCCGTCGCACAGGCTTTTCCCCGGTGTGGCTGCCCGCACACATCCTGCCGTGTTTCTCTGCTCCCACAAGTGGAAACGTGGGTGGCGTATTCGTGGGCTTAGAAGGAGCAAGCCCCACCCCCTCTCCCCAGGGGATGCTCCCCTACAAATCAGCCCCCCCAGTGCCGATGTGTTGGGCTCTGAGGTGTGGTGTGTTGCATTTTGCACAAACGCAAAAAGGAGGAAGGCAGGTTGTGTCACGTGGCCTTGAAATGACTCGGGCAAGTAAGCCTAACCACTCGTTAGAGGAAAGCTCTGAACAGGGTCGGGCAGATCCTCGCCCAGCCACCATATAAGTTAACAGCCTAACAGACGTCTGTTCCCTTGTGAAAGGGGGCAGACACAGGTAAGTGCAGAGCAGCAGCAGAGCGGGCAGTGGCAAAGTCGCAGAAAGAGGAGCTTCAAAGTTCATCAGAATTGCGCTTTGACCCCAGAAGGTCGTCGAGGGAGGTGGGCTGAGTGAGCCGTGATTGTGGGAGATGTCCTGGGGCTCAGCCCTGTGCGAGGGCCCCATAAATTGAGTGCAGGGAAGCTGCTGGCAGGCCAGCGTTCAGTAGCAAGTGGGGACACACGGGGCGTATTTCCCTCCATATCCCTGGTTTCAGGCAGGAGAAGAACCAAAGGGGGCAGGGGCTGGTGCAAAACTGTGTCGCTGGACAGAGGAGGTCAAGGGTGACCGTGCCTTGCAAGCGATGTTCTTTTCCTGATTTCACGGGGTATCAGTCCGGCCTGATAATGGAGTGGCCGCTGTGACAAGCTGGAATTCTCTTGGTCCTCATTCGGCACCAGCTGCCTCTGTGCTGCTCCTCATTCCCTGTGAACGCTCCTTCCTCAGGGCGGCTGCTCCTTGGACGGGAAGGAACGGGTGCGGAGGGCTGCCCCTGTCTTGTTGTCCTTGGCTGCAGCCCTGGGGCAGATGGGCAGACGCCCGTGGGTGCTACTGGTTGAACTCGGCTGGGAAAGCAAAGGAGCCGTTAAGCAAGTGCATTAGCAAAACCCACTGGTGCAGCTTTTCCGGGTAGCCTGAGCACTTTCTTGGGCTATTGTCATCATCATTAGTATTCCATCACATTTAAGGCCTGCCTTTTTCCCTCTTGCAAGGAAATCAAGGCATAGCTCCCTTTTATCCTCCCAGCAACAACCCTGCGAGGTGGGTTGGGTAGAGAGTGTCTGACTGGCCCAGAGTCACCCAGTGAGCTTCATGGCTGAGTGGAGGCTTGAACCCGGATCGCCTCAGTACCAGTTCAGTGCTCTAACCACTACATCACTCCAGCGACAGTGATCCAGCCTCCCTGCATTTAGAAAGGTAGCAAGTCGGGAAGAATAGTTCAAGAGGCGCTTCCTGACACGCACTTTTCCCCGTGTGAGTTTCCTCTCTCCCTTCTCCTCGGCTAGGCTCCGTGCCTCATTGACCCGCCATGATAAGCCTTCAGTTCTTCACCAGATCATTGTGTCTTTTCAGACGCTGAACTCCCAGAACGGTGGTTCTCCGAGCGGCACAGTAGTCTGACCGGCACTGGCGCGCAGTCAGCTGATCAGCCAGCGGGCCCCTCGGGCGCCTCGCCTCGCTGAGGCGCTCGGGCCAAGATGGCGAACCTGCCTGCCTCTTCGGCATCTGCTATGTACAGGTGGTCCCCTCCCTCCCTCGCCTATGACACTAACTGTACGGAAAGAGAGACACTAACAGAGTTAATTAATATATCGAGACCTATGTAGCACAGGGCCCTTTGCACTTCTCCGCTATTTAAAAGTATTAATTAATGAACCATATGTAAAGCTAAGATTTTAGCACAGGGCCGCTGGAGGGGCAGATTTTGCACAAGGGTGAACTGAGCTGCCCTCTTGACCTTCCTCTCCACCCCCCCAGACAGGGATTCCCTCCCGCCTTTCAGCTGCGCTGCCCTGGACTTGACTCGATCTGTCTTGACCGTCATCTGCCCCACAGCAATTTCAAGAAGAGAGTGTATGGAATCCCTTTTGCACAGGGGAAATGACCCCCCCTTTAAAAAGGAACCCCTCTCCGGTTCTCCCTTGCCGTTTTTAAATTCTATTTTAGTACCATTTTCGTGTGTGTTTTGCACAAGACGTCCCCCTCCTTCTGCTTACGTGAGGAAACATCCAGGAGACGGTCCCTTCAGCCTGAACCGCAGAACCTTGCTCCCGTGCCCCCTCCCAGCGGATCCCCAGAGAGATGCCCCTTGCTGCTCGTGATCCAGCGAGATACTGCCCAGGAGCTCCCGCCATCCTCCTGCCATGTCCTCTCTCGGCGTGGGAGCTCCGACAGCGGCCGGCCTGCCTGCTCCGTGCGGCCCAGCCTCGCAAGCCCACCCGACTGCTTCTCTGCAGAGCAGCCGTTTCTTTGAACTGCTGGGCCTCGTTCCCCACCTGCCTCTTCGGTTCGCCTGCCCTTTTCTCCTAAGGAACCGCTTCTGGACTGGATCTCATTGCTGGGCCACCTAGATGCCTCCCAGCCTGGACCGCCCGTCCGCCTCCCCCGCAGCTTCCCCTTTTCCCCTGCTCTGCCCTCCCGATGGGAGCACGTCGGGGTACGTGGGCCGGCCCTCCCAGCCTGTGCTCCAGCTGCCTGCACATTCTGAAGGCCACTTGTCCAGACCGAGCGGCAAATCCGAGACCAGAACAGTCGCACCCCTTGCCAGTTTAGGCCTGAGTCGAGGCCCTTTCGTGGAGCTTCCCCACTGAAGCTGGAGCAGCAGCAGCAGCAGCAGAGCCTTCCTGAAAAACGCGCAGAAATGATTGGGGTGCTACCGTTGGACATTTCACCGGAAGAAAGCAGAGGAAGCACTTGGTGGCCCAGCCGAGTCGTTGCAGCAGCTCACTGAGCCCGGTTTGTGCGTGCTTCGCGGGACAACCCGCCCCCACCTGCAGCCCTCATGGCTCCTGGGGCCGAGCCACACCTGCCCGAGGGCTTGGCAGCGCCCGCTTTGGCCCCAGGCCTTCCCCCTCGCTGGACTCGCCCGCCCAGGAAAGGCCCCGGACCAGCAGGGGCGCCCTCTGCGCAGCACCCTCTCTCACTGTGGACCCGTTCCCGGCTCCGTCATGCGGACACGGACCCCGCTATCCTTGCGCAGCAGGGCCGGTGGGCCTCCCTCCCCGAGGACGCTGCAGCACCGCGGGACTGGCTCCCCCCCCCCGGAACAAAAGCCATACTGGGTCCAGAGCCACTGCGCCCAAGTGAGTCGCCGCCGCTTCACCCCCGCCTGGGGGAGCAAGCCGCCTCCCTTCGGGCCTGCCCGACCCTCTCCACCAGGACCACGGACCAGCACTGGGCTTGCGCGTGCCCCCCCCCCCCCGAATCCTGTCTCCTCCAGCTGCATGTCACCCTCGCACTCTCTCTGGCCCCCCCCGCGGCCTTGCCTGCCAGCTGGTGTCTGGCAGCCCCCCCTCCGCCCGAGTCCGCAGAAGAACACGCCTGGAAGCTGCCGACGCTCCCCCTGTGCCTTCGTCACTTTACTACCTGCTCTAAACGTTTGTTACTGTTGTGTCTGGAAAAGTGTTTAAATTATAGAATCGTGAACTCCTATTTATACTAAAGAGACCGTTTTCACAGCACCGCCTCCCCTGCTAAATAAATGTCCAGGATGTGGGGGAGGGGGAGGGGGGTGGCAAAGCCTCTGCCCCGGGGCCAGGATGGCCTGGAGCAGTGGATGCCGTGGGGGGGCACCCGCCCTTGCGAAGAGCCAGCCGTGGGGCATCGGATGGGTGCACAGTCCATTCTCCGGTGCTTGTAGAAACCTGAGGCATTTGTGGAAAAGCTGCAGGAAGGGGCCGAGTAGAAGGGGCCCCTGCTTAGCACAGGACTCCAGGTTAAACCGTCCTGCTGCCAGTTGCCTCCTGAACGCCTCTCAGCACGAGCCCACCACCTCACTGAGTCATTTGGCCCATCGTTGTTCTGCTCCAACAGGCGGGAAGCTTCCCGATATCCAGGCAGCAGCTTTCTGCAACTTGATCCTGTTGTTCCGTGTCCTGCACTCGGGGACGATGGAGAGGAAATCCTGGCTGTCCTCCACGACAGCCTTTCAAATGCTTGGAGAGGGCTGTCCTATCTGCCCCGTCTTCTCTAGGTTCAGCATTCCCAGCTATTTCAGTCTCTCCGCAGGGGGCTTTGAGAACGTGCCTCCCCCCACCCCAGCACACACTTCCACTCTGCCCCCCCTTCCTGGTTTTGCTTTCAGCTCTTGCAAGGGTCTAAAGAGTCCTTCCCGGGACAGGAGTCCAGGGGACATGGAATAGTTCCAACTTTATTCATCTCTTGAAGAGGGGATCCCCTTAACTCACATGGCCACAAACGTACAGTGTTCTCATGCATCCAACCAAATGTACCTTATTACGCGGGGGGGGCATAATAAATACAGGGGGAGGTGGAGAGGCCCAAGAGGAGCATAGTGCAAAACCTTAAAACTAACCCTAAATCTTGTTCTGTGCATTTCTGCTTGAGAAACATCCACACACGAGTTCCGCTTGCTTCTGGCAAGGCGGGGAGCAAAGGTGTCTCCTGCTGGTTGTGGGGGGCAGGGGGGGCACATAAGATTTACTGCCAAACACCACAATCCCCAATAAATCGCAAAGAACCTTGTGTGTGCTGGAAGTGTGGAGGAAGACAGGCTGGTGCTGCCCCCGGGCGACAGAAGTGTGCAAGTGCGGGTATAAGCGGTGCCGGCCCGCGTGGGCTTTTCAACCTTGTCTGAGCTCACACCTGGCCATACGGCAGAATGGGCCTGCTGCGGCTGCCCCTCCACGGCTCTCCTGGCCAGTGAGTCGCTGGCCCTCGGTGTGACTCGGAGGCATTGGTTGCAGCCTGTGCCCCTGCGGGGCTGTGGGGACGGGCCTCGTGCCCGGGATGGCTGGCTCCTGGCCATCCCTTCCTTCCCTGGGGATCCAAGATGGAGGCCAGAGCCAGAGCTGGCGGAGGGCGTGATTGCCCTCACCTGCTGGTGCTGCCTCCGCCGGGAGCTTTATTGCACCAAGCGGGTCGCGGCACCTGGCACAAAGAACCCAGGTGCCACGGCGCAGGAGTCCTTGAAGTTGCTGGCTGGCCCAAGCCAAAGGGAAGCAGAAGCGGCTTGTGGCAGTGGGTCTCCGGCAAACACGGTGGGTGGCACAGCAGAGTCCGGAAAGGCGTTTCCCACGTGCGGCTGGGGAGCCAGCAGCAACAGGCGCGTCAAGTCAAGTCCACGTGGAGGATCGTGGCCGGAGCAGGCGCGTTTTCCTCCAGGCCCGGAAGGCCCCTGGAGAGCTGGGCTCTCGGGGGTGAAGCGCCAAGGCTGCTCAGGCTGGAGCGATCCAACGGAACAATCCCGGGGGGGGGGGGGTCAGCTGGGTTCTGCGCAGCTTAAGAACTCGGCCCCCCAAGAAAAGCCCTCCTCAGAGCCTGCCCGACTGCCCAACAGTACGAGGTGGGGCGGCTGCTGGGGGAAGGCACCGGAGAGACGCCCGTGGCAGCCACGGGGGCGATGGGAGAGGGAGGCCAGGATCCTGAGCGGGGGCCGGGCAGGGCGCCGGGGGCGAGTGTGGGCCACGCCAGCTGCAGCGGGAGGGGGCAGGGCCCCCCTCGCTGCTGGGGCAGGGGACCCGGCGCTGCCACGCCTCCGGGCCCAAGAGTCCTCCAGGGCAACGAGCGTCCAGTGGCAAGAGGGCTCCCAAATGCCCAGCAAGGGTTCACCAGGCAGGTGCGCGCAGCGGCCAGACACAGCCGGCCCCTCTCCTGGCAGCGTTCACGCCACATCCAGTCAGCCCCGGGGGGGGGCCTCCGGCACCAATCCGCCAGTGCACAGGAGCAGGTATCCCACCTTGACGATGCAGGGCCTATGTACCTGCGGAGGAAGGGAAGCCGGTCAGAGTGGCTGCCAGGAGGCTGCCCCAAGGCGGGCGGCCAGCCGGCCAGAAGCGAGGGCCAAGGAGAGAGGGCCAGTAGCCCCTGCGGGGGACAGACGAGGGGCAAGAGGCTTGCAGGCTGGGGCGCCAGCTGAAGGTCGCTGTCCAAGGCCGCTGCTGCCGCTGCCGCAGGAGGTGGCGGCTGACGTGCACCTCCCGCTGGACGCGGGCCGGGAGGGAGGCCTCCAGGTACATCAGCACAGCCAACCCGGCTGTGCTGGCTGAGGAGTCGTGGACAGCAGCTGGTGGGCACCAGGCTGCGCAAGGCTGCATGTGCGGACGGGCCCAGGCGTGCCGCCCTGCTCCGGCTCGGTCTTCCTGTGCAGATACGAGCAGGGCGCTCCTCGAAGCCCGAGGCCGCGCTCCCTGTGGCAAGGGCAGGACTGCAGCCACAGCCCACGGCCACGCCGCCAAGAGACGCTGGGAGTCGAGGCCCCACTCCTGCTGGGCACCCGATTGCGGAAGTGTCCTTAATGCGAGGATGCGAGTCCCGGGACTCCCCACACCGTGGGCACGAGGAAAGAAACAGGCTGAGCAAGCGGAGGCCCTGCAAAAGACCATCTGCCACGGCACCCTCCTCCCGTCCTGCCCTTCTGCAAACCTCGCGCTACGAGGCAATGCTCTGCCCAGCCCGGCAACCCCTGGGGAGCGGTGCGTGTGCCTCTGAGGGCGTGCGCTGAGCGAGAGAGCGAGGCAAAGCGAGCGCCCAGCCGAGCCGTCCGTCCGTCCGTGGGGCTGCGCAGCCAGGGAAGGGCCAGGGGGCTGTGCGTGTGCAGGAGGCGGTGGCGGCAGCCGACATACCCTGGAAAAGAGCAGCAAGTGCCGGTACAGAGGTACCACAAGCGGGTATTCACAGAGCCGAGATGCCATGGTGCTGCCTGGCTGGAAAGAGAAAGCAGAGGTCAGTCAGCAGGGCCGGGCACCAGGCGAAGGTGGGGCGAAGGAGCAGGCAGTCTCTCTCTCTCTCTCTCTCCCTCTGTGTGTGTGCGCATGTGTGCATGTGTGCATAGCCATCCCATGCATGCACCCAACAGTGACCCCACAGCGGCTACAGGTGGGGTGGACTTTCGTGGCACTGCAGTCTTTGAAACAAGTTTCTAGTCCTCTGAAGGAGACGCCTTCTCTGAGCTCTTCCCATCCCTCTTTGCCTCCTGTTTTTGGAGAAGTCCACATACAGGCAATCACGGGTTGCACTGACGTTTCCAAAGGAGCCACGGGACCTGTTCTGGCGGGCGCGGGGCGAGCCTAGCACACAGCCTTCGAACGCTTCCCCAGCAGCTCGCGGGCCCGGCAGGGCAGAGCCGCCGGCCACCCTCCCCTGCCCTCTGCCTGGCCCGGGCTGCCCCTCTCGCCACCGCGGGGTCTGGCAACCTGGAGTCGGGCTTACGTCAACGGGGCGCTCCACGCCGCACAAGAAAGGGTGGGAATGGTTGTGAGGCCAGCGGGGGCTCCACCCCAGAGCAGCTGGAAGGAAAAGAGAGACGTGGGGCCGGGTTTTCTTTGGGGGACGGAGGGGGAGAGGCGGGGAAACGTGCGGGGAAGACTCCCGCTTGAACGCGCGCACGCACACAGCTCTGCAAGCTTGCCGGGCAGCGCAGCACGCCACTGCTGAGCCACGCCGGCCACATGCCGTGCTCCACTCCGCGCGCAAAGGCGGCTGCCCATCTCCATGCCAGGGATCGCGTGCCGGCACGGCTCGAGCACAGGCTGCTGCCGAGCTTCCCACTCGCGGGTCGGGAGGGGGGGGGGGGGGTCCATGCATTCGGAAGAGGGGGGCCAAGGAAGCATGGCAAGGGTCATGTGCACAAACACCGCGGCACCTCCGGGCCAGGCGGGAGCACGAACGGAACGGCGCAACCAGCCCGCAGGCAGACAGTCCAATCCTACAGTCCAGCAAAAGGGCTCATTTCCCCGCCACGACATCCAGCTTTCCTGGTTGACTCTTCTGCCCTGCACTTTAAGGGGGATGCCGCCCACCTGCGTGGTTCAAACCCTGAACCGTGATGTGCGCCAGCAGGGAGGGATGCTGGAGCTCTGGGAGACCTCTGGGCCGTCGAAGGCAGATCTCGTTTCTGACACACAACGCCTTACGGCAAACCTGCCTCTGCCCCCAGGCCCCTGGAGGCCTGTAAGCTCCTCTCCATCCTGGGAGGAGAAGCGAACTGTGGGCTCAGAACGCTTCCATGCGATGCGTGTCTTCCGCACTCAGCTCTGCTCCGTGGGTCTCCGGGCTCCAGTTAAAACGGAAAGGGGGCAGCTCGGCCCCACACCCTTCCGCAGCAGCACACACACCTGGACGGGGGTCTCGGGTCAAGTGCGGCTCGCTCTCTGCCGCTCCCTGCCTGGCTGGTTTCTACCTGCTGCACTCGCTGCGGGGCAAACGGAAGAGCGAAGCCAGCAGAAGCCCAAGCGGAGGAGAGTCCGGAAACGGCGGGTTGTGGGGGGCAACTTGCCTTCCTCGCCCATCACGTTCATCCCGTCGATCTGCTCCTGCAGGCGTCTGATCTGCGCTTCCAGTTCCAGGTTGCGGCTCTGGGCTTCCTGCAGCTGGCTGGGAGAGAAGGCCGGACAATCCGACAATCCGCTTTTGTCGCTCTTGGGCTCCTCGGAGCAAGTGGGGCTGAACTAAAGTCTCTCCAGTTGGGAGGGAGGGAGGGGCCGGGACCCACACGGCTTGATCCCCAGGTGGCAAACGGGAAGGTGCCAGAGCACAAGAGGAAACCGGGCTTCCTTTCGCTTAGAAATGCTGCATTTTCCCTGCTCTAAAAGAAGCCCCCACAGATGCGAGATGGGAGGGTCCCCCTGTTGCCCCGGGAGCCCATAAATACCGTAAGGAGGACATGATGGGATGTGCTGGGATGGACGGGAGGGTGGCAGGAGCCGCGGGGCCAAAGAAACGGCCATCCTTCCGCCCCCTCCGCCTCTCCCTCGGCTCCCCTGCTCCCCCCCGCCCCCTGGCCAGGCTGGCACGGTCAGGGCAGGCCCTGCCACGAGGAAGGCTTCCTGGCAAAGAGGCTGCGGCCCCCTCACCTGGCGAAGGTCTGGTTGGCCACCTTGACCATGCTCAGCTCCTGGCACAGCACCTCGCGGCTCCTCAGCTCCTCTGCGAGCGCCGCTTGCAGCTCCAGGAACGCGGCAAGGTCCGGCTGCGGCCCATCCGGCAGCTTGCCCGCCTGGCCGGGGACACAAGGGCGTCCGTTAGCGGCGAGCCCCGGCAGGGGCAAAGAGGGCTGCCGAGCCCCACCCGCTCCCTCCCCTCCCCTACCAGCTCCTCGGGGGGGGCCTGGGGGGGCGGCTCCGCAGGCGCGATCCTCCTGCCGCACTCCACCTCCATGGCGGGGTCTGGGGGGCCACCGTCTTCGGCCTCATTCTGTCTGAGAGAAAGGAGATTCTCACGGGCCGCTCCCCGCTGGCCTCCTCTCCAGCAGAAGGGCCACGCAGCACAGAGGCGCCGACCCCCCACCCGGGCGCCTGCCTGCCTGCCTGCCTGTGGGTCCCGGCTGTCCCCCCGCCCCCGAAGCACCTCTTACTTCAGTGCGGTGTAGGTGTACGAGTATCCCACGAAGGGCAGGTGCACCCCCAGCGGAGAGCTTTCGAGCACGTCGGACAGCGTCTCCTGGAAAGGGAGGACAAGCACACGGAGGGGTGTGTGCCGGCTCGAGCTGAACCGGAGGCGCAGGAGGGGGCTGAAGCCCTGGGCTGTGCAGCTGCCCTGTTTCTTCCGGCAACTATCCTGCGCCTCCACCTCCACAATTCCTACATTCCTGTGCTAAACGGAGGGTGGAGAGAGGACAGCACAGGGGTCAAATTTCTGGCCTTCCCCGAGTCGCTTAAAGCGTTCTTGGTGCCGGAAAAGTGCCAGGAGGCGACCCGCCGGGGCCCGCATGAGCCAGGGCTGGGGATCCTGGGGCTCAGAGCCGAATCTGGCCTGCCGAGGGTGCCTATCTGGCCCTCTGGATTTCCCCAAAGGCTGCGCCCCAGCCCAGCCCCCAGCTTTCGCAGCCCCCTTTCCGCCTTCAGACCCTCCCCCCGCCAGCTTGATGCCTCAGGGAAAATGCTCTCGACTCCTGACAGGCCGCATTTTCAAGGGCAATGGGCCCCACGGGGGGGGGGGGGGCCTGTGGCCACGTGCCAGGAAAGGGCCCCGCAGGCGGACAGGGTGGCTGCTCGCCTTGGCCGCGTGCGGGATTTCGGTAGCAGGCCCCCGGCGGTTCCTCCGTGGCCACCGCAATATGGGGAGGGGCTCTCCGGAGGCGGGGGGCGCTCAGAGATCAGTCCAAATGCAGCTTGCCATCAGGGGGAGGGAGAGGGGGGAAAAAACGAAAGGCACGTACCCCTCCCCCGCTCACCATGTCAGTGAGACAGTCTTCCACCACGTCGAAGTTGCAGGTGTCAGTGGCGTTGGCGAACTCGGGCACGAACGCCGGAGTGCAGCCCCGTAGGTTCTCCCAGTCCACGCCTGCGAAGAAGGGGTGCTCCTGGAAGTCGCGGAGCCCGTTCCGTCCCAGCCGCGTCTCTCGGGGGCAGATCAGCCCTTCGATCAAGGCCTGGGCTTCCGGCGGGGCTTCCGGCGCCGACGGGGGGAAGCGGAAATGCTCCTGGGAGAAAGCGTTTGGGGACGGGCACAGGGAAGGGAAGTGCTGAGAAGGGGGCTAGTCCAGCGGGGCGGCCGGGACTCTCGGGGGATTTACTCCAGCGTATGAAATGCCTCGCTGAATAAATGGCTAGAGGCATGTTACAGTAATGATGAAAACACCCACAAAATCACAAAAAAAATGTACGTGTGCCAAGACAGCAAAGAACGCACACCCTCTGCCAATATTGCATTGCAGGGGCTGGATAATAACAGGAAATCTTTTTTTGTCTATTTTAAAACATGCTGAAACGGCTTTAAGAGGCTGGAGAGCTGGTGCAGGAAAGCAGGGCAGTGTTCTAGCACTGGGGGGGCCACGACTGAAGAGGCCCGTCCATGTTGCCATCTTCCAGGCGGATATGGGGGCACCGGGGGATGAGTTCAGGCGTAGACAGGTGCAGGTGGTGGGGGCCCCCGCCAGGCCAGACAGACACCCCACGTGTGTTGAATCTGCCCCGGCCCCCACGGCTCTGCCCCCCGGCCAGGAAGACCCGCAGCGCCGGCAGCACTTACTTTGAAATGGATGATCTTGCCGTAGGTTTCCACCACAGAGTCGGCAAAGAACGGGGTGTGCCCGAAGAACATCTCGTAGGCGAAGACGCCCAGGGACCACCAGTCACACTCCGTGCCGTAGGAATGTGCTCCGTCCTCCACCGCGTGCAGGATCTCTGGGGAGAGGTAATCCGGGGTGCCCACCGCCACCGCCGAGCAGACCTGCCGACACGAGGACGCAGGAGGGTTCCGGCACCGACAGAGAGGTTTCTCGAGGCCGCGCAGGGGCCACACAGGGGCGAGGACCCCCGGCCCCACTGCCGCAATGCCGCCCTGAAGTGGACCTGCCAGCCGGAAGGCCTGGCCTCCGAAGTCCGTGGGGCTGACCCTCCTTCCGCCCAGGGGCCTAAACCTGCTTCAGAGATGCTCTTGGGAGGGGTCATGCAAGCAGGGGGCGGGGGCCCAGGACCCAAAGCACCAGCAACCTTTAGCTTCCGGCGCCTCCGGCCAGAAGATGGCCTTCGGAAAGGCATCGCATGATTTCGGACCTGGGGGTGGGAATGGAACCAAAGGCTGGAAACCCCCAAGCGACGGGTGGCTGGGGGAAGGGGGGGCCTTTTGGGGAAGCCTGCTCTTAAAAAAAGGGATGTAAATAAACCTCTCCCCAGTTAAGGAAGGAAGAATTAAGCAAGGCCGCATGACTCACTGTCTGGTCCTCAAGAAGAACCAGAATAAATAATAGAAAATATTTATTTTATTCTTTGGCCAGGGCGACTTAATTTATACTGTTAATTTGTATTATTTTAACGAAGCTTATTTATGTTTGTGAGCCACCCCAAGGCTTCAGCGAATGGGGCGGCATAGAAATTTTCTAAATAAATAAATAAATAAGTAAGTAAGTAAAACCCAGATTCATCCCTGAGCCGTGAAAGGCGGAGTGTGATGTCTGTGCCCTCCCTCATTAGCCTTGTGTGCGTGGGGGCGCAGCGGGGGCTCAACAGCGTGGCCCCTCCAGGTCTCCTTGTTAGTGGGGATGGTGGCATCACCAGCGCCCCCCCTCCAGGCTGCCCCATTCCTACCGAGTTGCAGTGCCTACGGGGGCGACCGACTGGGAAGGGCATTTTCCAGAAGCAAAATACTGCTCCCAGCTGCCCCAGCTGGAATGCGAAGCCTCTCCAGACCCCCCTGTGAGAGTTCCAGAAGACCGCCCCCCCCCGCCTGTGAGGAAGGGCTTGCTGCTAGAAAGCAGGCAGGGGGCGTCTTTAGGGGCCCTGCGCCGCCGCCCCCCCACCCCGCATCCTGAGCAAGGTCTCTCACCGTCCCGTCCTCCCGGAGCTTGAGGCAGGAGCCAAAGTCCCCCAGCCGGATGTGCCCACACTGGTCCAGCAGGACGTTGTCGGGCTTGATGTCTCTGTGGGGGGGGGGGGGGCTCGTTAGCAGGCTGGAAAACGGGTGGGTCGGCCCCCGAGAGGACCGGTGCCGAGGGGGCCTGGGGACCAGGCCATCCCCAGAGCCCGCCCCCCTCCGCCGGCCACAGACAGAGAGAGGTGCTGCTGCCCTCAGGCCCGGAGGGGGTCTCCAGGGAAGAGCCGCAGCTGCATTCTCCTCCCCGGGACATGGGCCCTGCCTCGCCCTGCGGGCCCCTGCCAGGCCCCCGGCCCCTCCACGCCCCGAGGTCTGGCTGCCCCGGCTTGGAGGGACGCCCCGCCTCCCCTGTGGGGCCTGGGAGGAATCTGCAGAGCGCTCTCCGGCTGCCTCGGCCAGGAGAGACGGGGGCCTGGCGGGGGGGAGCGGGGCGAGGCGGGGCGGGCAAGGGGCCCGAAGCACTTCAGGCTACACAGCAGTGGGTGCCTCGGCACAGGTCAGCCACCCTCAAGTGGGGCCCTCCAGGTGTGTGGGACTACAATACCCAGCATGCGGACTGGGCGATCCTAGGAGCCCTGGTCTGATGCATTGGCAGGGCCCAGTCTGCAGAAGGCTGGCCAAGGAGTACGTGGGAGGGGGGACGCCACGCAGCAGGGGACGCCACGGCCTGCTCCCTCCCGCCACCAGTTCCGCCCACCCCCCCACCTGCCCCCCCCCGGCCCGCTCACCCCCCCTGCCTGCTCACCTGTGCACGTAGCCCATGCGGTGGATGGAGTCGATGGCCATCGCCATCTCGGCCAGGTAGAACCGAGCCATCTCCAGCGGGATGTGGTCCCCGAACTTGCTCAGCAGTGTCAGGAGGTCGCCCCCCACGTAATAGTCCATCACCAGGTACTACAGGCGGGGAAAAGGGTGGCCAGGGAGGGGCCCCCGTCAGGCGGGGCCGAGCACACAGCCGGGGCAGCCTTCCCCAGCCCGCTGCCCCCGAGACCCAGCCCCTGCACGGCCGAGCGGAGAACAGGCCGTCACTCGCAAGCCACCCTGCCGCTGCGACCCGCGGCTGCCAGCACCCCACCCCAGCCACGATCGGCCCGTCGTGGGAGTTCGGGCGCCGTCTGAATGCAGCCCCGGCAGAACGGCGGCTTCCACCCCCGCCTGCCTCCCTCTGAGCGCCGTCCGAGTCCACAGCTGCCCTCCGCCCAGAGGCCGATCCCGGCCGGGGGGACCCAGCCGCTGCCCCCCGGCCGATCCAGTGCCGACGCCACGCCCGGCGCTGCGGCAGCCCAGCTCACCAGGTAGTTCTCGTCCTGGAAAGCAAAATGCAGCCGCGTGATCCAGCGCTGGTCTCCGTTCACCAAGACGTCGCGTTCCTCCCGGAAGCAGGAGACCTGCAGGGCGACAGCACGCACTCAGGCAGCTGGCCGGAAATGGCTCCTGCGCTCTGTGCGCGGCCTGGCACCATCAGATGCCGGCCCAGCCACGGATTTACAGTGCCCGTGCCTTTCTCCGCCAGCCTCGGTTGACCAGCCTGCAAAATGGGAAAAGAGTGGCCTCCCTCGCAGGGCTGTTGTGCAGACAAAGACGCTAGCAATGACAAAGTGCCCCGTGCTGACCAATGCGCCCCAGAGGTTAACGCAAAGGTTACATAGCCCAAAATGGGGCCGGATCCCCGATGTGGGGAGGTGCCGAGCTGTGGGTCATCCGGCCTTCCAGACAGCAAGAGCGTGCTGACATTTCCCAGTGCGACTTGGTGAGCTGGGCAGGACCTCTAAGGCTCGGATCTGAGGCTGGGGGATCGGGAGGGCCCCCATCCCCACATCCCGTTGCCCTTCCCTTAAAGTCTTGAGAGCAGTGCTGGGACTCAAAGATCCAGGATCTAGTCTCCCCTCAACCATGAAGCGCACTGCGTGACTTCGGGCCACTCCTGGACTCTCAGCATGACCTACCTCGCAGGGTCGTTGTGAGGATCAAGGGAGAGGAGGGTCGTGGCAGCTACCTTGGGTCCTCTCAGGGAAAAGGGCAGTGCATAAAGGTAATAGCTCGTGAATTAATGACATTGTCGGGGTGCCCCGCCATCACACTACGGTGGCTCGCAGCCTTCCAGGGCCTCGCCTGGGACACCCCATCACTCCCGCACCGGGGGCAAACTAAGCCCCATGCCTTCTGCCCCCAAGCCACCCGCAGGGCAGCCCGAGCACTGTGTCCACGTGGTACGGCCCCCTCACACCTACCTCGCCTCGCTTCAGCATGTCCCACTTATTCATGATTTTCATGGCGTACACACGGGGACCCTTCTTCTGCTTTACCACGGCCACCTGCACAGGTGGAAAATGAGTGGGGGGCAAAGGGGGGGGAAGACACAGTGAGACCCCTCCCTCCCCCGGATTTTGCTGCACTTCAGGGGAACGTGGAGAAAACGGACTTGTTTCCGTCCATCCCACGGGCAAAGCAGCGATTAAGCGGTGGGTTGTCCAGGACCCACCAGGCAATTTGTGGGAACGGCAGCACCAGGGCCCAACGCAGGCCGCGGCAGAGAACGGGCCGAGCCGAAGGGGCCACGCGGAGGAGGCCCTGCCATGGGACCCCGTCCTGCCCCACCTCGCAAGCACAACCGTTGCCTGGCCTTCTCCACGAGCCTCCCGTGGCCAGACCTTCGCCCCATCCCTGCCGGGAGGGGCGAGCAAGCATGGTCCAGCCCTGGCACCCCTCACCTCACTGAAGGCTCCTCGGCCGATCACCTTTAGGATCTCAAAGTCCTCCCGCTGGAGCCGCAGCTCCTTCAGCCGGCTGGTCACGGGCTCCGCTGGAAGGAAGGAGAAGGAACGCTGCGTTTGGGGGGCGAAGGGGTGCCCACCGGGCTGATGCCAAACCCCCAGGAGAGCCCGGCACGAGTAGCAGCCGCTGTCTAACTTGTGGGGCTGCTGGGAAGGTTCCCCAGACAGCCCAACGTGGGGCCCTTTGCAAGAGGGCCGGCCCGGCCCCTGCTGGACCTTCTTTTCAGCAGCCGGCACTGTCCGGCCAGGCCTTCACGGACGTCCCATCGCCCTTCGGGGCAAACACTGGTTTCACATCTGAATGTTTTCGTCCTGTGCCCTGCGTTTCTTGGGGGCTAACCCTATCTGTGCCGTGCACGCCACCCCACCGGCTGCCTCGCAACCGCTGCCGAGATTTGGACAGGCGATAAGAAGAAATGGACAAAACAAAACACCAGGAAGCTGGGAGGCTGAAAAGCAGGATAACCTTGCAGGATGGCGTTGAAAAGAGCAGGAGAGAAAACTCCCTGGAGCTTTCCTCTCTCCGGTTCCCTCCAGGTGTACTGCGCCGCAGTTCCAGATCAGCATTGGCTGGGGATGATGGGCTTCGACACACCTGAAGGGTGCCGGGTGGGGAAAGGCTGGTGTGCGGCGACTTTAACCTGGGGTGCAGAACCTCAGTCCAGGGGCCACGTCTGCCCGTCCAGGGGCCCCCAGGATGGTGATGACATCCCTCCCTCCCACTTCCCAGCCCTCGTGCGGCTTTTTGGCCCACACGGGCCGCTCCCAGGACGTGTTCCTGGCAGGAACAGCTTGAAGCTAAAATATGCTGCTATTTTGGGCATTTTGCCCCCCCCCCCACCTCAGGACGCAGCCCCCAAGGCCATCTCCGAAGCGGAATTCGGCCCTTGACGGATGAACCCCTACGCTGCCCCGGGATGGACGCAAGAAGTGAAGGAAGCGGCATGTGCCACTGCGTCCAGCCCACCTGCCACGGCCTCTGCCCCGGCACCCGCCGGCCAATATTAATTACGGGGGAGAATTTCCCTTACGCAGCGGTGGCCAATGCCGGATTCGGGAAGAGTGACTCAGACGTTTGGTAGGGCGGGCCGTGGGCCCCAAAATAAACGTGTGGCCAACTGCGTGGGAAGATCACGGGACCCCCCCCCCCACAATGAAGCGGGTCATGTGGCCTCCCAAATTGGCGTTGACAGGGTGACTCAGCCGCCGGGCGGCTGCGGCCGTCTTTTCTTGGAGCCACAGGGTTTGGGGAAATAAAACAATTTAAAAGCTGCCCCAGGGTCTGGCATGCTCTCTTCACGTCGTGAGGAGAAGCTAAAGAAAAGAGGAGATGCGACGGCTGGTTGCTTGGCGGGAGGGTGGCTGATGGGCCCGGAGCCGCGAGGGACGCGGTTTATAAATAACTTAAGGATGTGAGCAAGAAGGTTGGAATGGGGTTTGTTTGGGGCGAGCTGGGAATGCAAGATACTGAGTAAATAAGGGGGATGGGGAAAGGTCTGGCAAGCACACGCCCCTCTAGCTCGGCCTTTCCCACCTGGGCACCCTCCAGGTGGGGTGGATTACAGCTCCCATCACCCCCAGTCAAAGTCAGCGAAATTTAGGGGCCCAGCTCCGTCCGTCCGTCCGTCCCTCGGCCTCCATGCCTGTGAAAGACCGAAATTCCTGGGACAGAGCAAGCGTGCCGCCAGGCTGCAGCTAAGCTGTAGGTATGAGAGGCACTTCAGGGGGATGGCGGGAATGCAGACAGGGCACCGGGGCAGGGCTGGGGGGAGCCCCGGTCCACCAGCCGCTCAGCAGCCCTGCGGGCGGGTCTGCCACCCCGGCTGCCCTGCCAGGGTCACCTTCCTTGGACTGGCCCTGCTGCTGCACCTTTTGCAGGACATTGGCCACGGAGACGATGCACGCGAGGCCCGTCCGGCTTGCTCACGTGTCAGGCTGCTCCCAAAGGCTGGGAGGCACCCCTCCTGAAACCAAGAGATCCACAGAGCGCTGCATTGCCTAGTGACAGTGGAAAACATTCCTCAGCCCGCCTCCAAAGCACTCCGTGGCATCGGGCAACTGTATGCAGGGGTTGTTAGCAACCTCCACATACAGAACACCCAGCCAGCCGGGGGCTGATCCTTGGCACCAGCAAAACACGCACGAGAGCAGGGAAACATTCCAAGGGTGCAGAGAAAACAGCCCAGGCCGTTAATTTGGTGCTCTCTGTATTCCCTGACAGTTCAACAGGTTCACCAGTTCTGCAACAGGGTGTATTTCCTGAAGGTAGAACTTGTTCACTTAGTTTTACTCAAAGGCACCCCTAATGCGCTACCAGCATGTTATATGTCTAACTAGGATAATGCGAACATCACTGCAATCTTAAGTGCAGCATGGACCCCGTGCAATTTCCTTCTGTGTAAAATGGAGCAGCTTCGGTGCTACCAAGGATCTACTTTCATTCCTTAAAAGCAGAATCCTAACCCGAGTTTAGACCAACCAAAAAAAGAGGCAGGTCTGCTTAAATTTACACAGGATGGTGCCCTTGAAATGCTTTCAATTTAAAAATAACTTGTCTGATTTTCTGCCCTTTTCCACCAAACACTTGTAACAGATGCTTAAAAGGATTAGAATGCCTCATCCTTAGAGCAAAGCTGGAAGGCATTTCTGGTCCGCTGACAGAGTTCTGTTTACAAGTTCCCGTCCAGGCACTGTCGTTCGCTGGCAAAAGGGCTGAGGCCGTGCAAGATCTGATGTGTAAGATAAGGATCAGTAAAGGTTCAGCAAAGCTGATCTGAAAGAACATGGGCAGACAAAGGTCCGTTCTCTCTGCTCAGCCTTCAGGGCTTTGGGGGCGATTTGAACAAAGAAGTTCTCTTGTAAAACATTTTGCACGGGCCACTGCAAGAGGGTGAGAGTGCTCAGGGAGGAGGGGTGACATCCTGGGTCAGCCAGGAAGAAAGCCAGATAGACCAGGAGAGATGGGGAGGTGAGGCAGAGAGACGTCACACCTCTCTACCTTTCCACGGCTGTTCAGAGCCCCATCAAATTCTGGACTTCGCCTCTCTGCTGGACAACAGTGACCAGTGCCCTGCTCAAAAAGTGCTTCCAGCATGGTGAACCAGCAGCGCTTACTGTCCGCTCTTTCTCCCCCACCCACCGCCAGGCCAAGAAAGCAAGGCTTCAAAGAGAGAACCCGGCTCATGGAAAAATACTCCCGAGTCAGCCGTGTCTCCTGAGGACAACCTGCCAGCGGAGGAGAAGCGGTGTTTTCGCCAGCCCTTGCACAGTCTGGGGCCATTTCAAGGCCTCAAACTGCAGCAAGATGGTGAGAAGGGCCCCTGGCACGAAGGCAGGCACAAGGTTTTAAAATACACACGGATTTAAATCCATCAGCCCTTGCCGTCCACCCTCCGGGAACGAACAGCAGGTCCCAACCGCACTGGGCTGGGGTGGCCCACTTGGAACTTGCAAGTGCCGTGGGCACTCTTGCAAAATGGCTGCCGGGAGGGGTGTTGCCTCTTCATCAAACGGCTATCATGTACCCAAGTCTGCATTTGTCCTCCTCCCCCCTTTCCCTTTTGTGTTGGCCTTTTGGAGCATGAACCCAGAGAGAGGGACTGCCTTTGTTTTAAATTAAGCAACACTGTGCAGGCCTTTCATCTGCAGGGCAGTCAAACTGCTTCAAAATGGGCAAACAAGAAAACACACACACTGCTGTCGCAGCTGCAAAGACACACGTGCAGCATCTCTCGCAAAATTCCACCTGCAGCTTTCCAAGCAGGGCGCAAAAACAGGCTACGCTTTTCCAAGAACTGCTCCGTCTCCTCCCCGCTCCTCTCTTAGCTCCAAAATGTCCGGTCATCCCATCACCGAGCGACCTGCGGGTGTGTGCGCGCACGCACACGCTCTTTCTCTCCCCAACATGTTCACTACTTTGCCGGGCTGGCGAGAGCAGAGAGCACCGGCATTGAGTGCCTCCGTCCACCCAAGCAGCCTCGCCCAGGGAAGTTCAGGGCAGGTTCTTCGGTGGGCCTATATCCTGCTCGACAGAAACGCCACAAGCCCAGTTTGTGATACTGCAAAGCTGCCGCTGCACCCAGAAAGATGCCCGAACCTTGTTCCAAGGTCCCCCAATTCTTAACATCCAGAAAAGCTGGATTTTGACACAGTGTAAATGAAGGAAAATTATTCCTTCCTTTCCATTGCACTGTTTTCCTTTGTCAAGCACTCAGCGGACTGGCTGCTCCTCCGATCGACTTTATCCTCGCTACAGCCCTGTGAGGTGGGCCGGACAGAGCCCACGACTGTCCCAAAGTCACCCAGCAAGCTGCATGGCAAAGTGGGGCTCAGGAAGGGACTCTCCGACCCCCCATCCAACACTGCGACCGCTACACAACTCTGGCACCCCCTCCCCGCTCTCCTACTTGCTATGAGAAAGGGTCACGTGCTGCGACATGGCCCCCTCCATCGGCCCCCCCTTGGCCCTCAGCTGCTCCCCTCCCTCCTCTTCCTCCCCTCCTCGGGGCTCCCACTTGCTCCCTTGAGAAAAGACCCCCGACCCTCTCGCTCCCACGTTCCCTGGGCCAGAGGGGCAGGTGAGAGCGGCTGGCCATGGCTGGCCGGAGGAGGTGCCTCTTTAGCAGCCGCCCCCCCCCCACGGCCTCGGGCTCCCTCAACAAAAGCCATGCTTGCAGGATGTCCAGCTGTTCAAGGCAGGAGGATATTTCGGGCCCTTTAAGCACACGTGCTGCGCACCCCTCCCGCCCGGAGCTGGCGGGGGCGCCGAGGCAGCTGCCTTCCAAGCCAATCTGGGGCAGCCGCCAAACACTCCCAAAACCAGCCGTTTTGCTCCGCTGCGGTGGGGTCCTATTTCGGGCACAAGCCGGGTTGGGAAGCCGGGCTCACAGCGATTCTCAGATTCCACCGAGGGCCCTTGGAGACGAGCGCTCGGTTGCTGGGGAAGGAGGGTGTGCGAGGAATTCCTGGGCACGAAAACTTTTCCAGTACACAAGCAGCGGGACGGAGCCCGAAGGTGGGGCCGTCTCCAAAAGCCCATTCCCTGCTAGGACACGTGGGCCCAGGATGCGCTCAACCGAGTGTAGGCAAATGTGCTTCAGAACATGTGCAGAGTACCTCTGACCAAGCAACAACCACGGTTGGTCAGACAAAAAAAAAAAAAAAAAGGAATTCAGGCTCCGAGGGGGAGGCTCTTGGCTACAATCCCAGGACCGCGAGTCCTACGTCAAAGTAAACACTGCTGCCCCTCCTTTCAGGAGTGCTGCGAGGGGAGCAGCCCGTCCCTCCCGCTCGCACCCGTGTCTCCATCCCAATTATGGAAGGCAGCGAAAACATGACCGCAGGCTCAGTTTCTGACTGCATGCTCCCCTCTTCCGGAACACCCCAGAAAAATCCGCCAGGGGCAAGAGGCCGCGCTGCCCGGGTCGCCCCTGATCCCTGGCGGCACGCCCGCCCGCCCGCGGGGGAGCGCGCAGACGCGCGTTTCCAGCACGGAGCTCAGTCCCCGGCCAAGCGTGCCGTGGGGGGGCCCGGGGGGGGGGGGGGGGAAGGGATGAGGGGGGGGGGGGGAAGGGGGCATCGCGTGTCGAAAGCTGGTGGCCTTTTATGGAGTTTCGCAAGGTCCCAGCGAGGCGCAGCGCACAAGCCCGGCGGCCGCACGCGCAGGCCTGGAACTCTCTGGGAAGAAGGTGGGGGGGCGGCGGGGTGGGGGGGCTCGGGTTGTGCCATCTTGTCCACAAAAGGCAGCGTGCACCGCCAGGGGGTGGGATTTGGGGCCCGGTTTGTTGTGGTGGTGGCCGTGGGGAAGGCGAAGCTGCCAGAACCGCCGCGCCGCGCCCCGCAAAGTCCTTCCAGAAGCGCCCGATTTGTTTCGAGCGAGCCGCGCTCCTCCTCTCATTCACGTGCGTGCTGAATAAAAGGCCGCATCCTGCCCAGCCCCCTCCGTTCAGTGCAAATCCTTACTGCTAGCCAAAAAGCTCCGAGCCGGTCTTGCTGGCTGCCGGCGCTCATGGCTGCTCGGACCCCGGAGCGGCTGTGCCCCTACAGACAAGCCCTCCCTGCCCAGCTCCGCAAAGAGTTGCAGTCCCGGCACCCCAATGCCAGCCCGATTTTCTCCGGAGTCCAGCGCAAGGCGAATCGGCCTCCCCTTCCCCTTCATGCCTTCCCTTCTGAAGGGTAGGGGCGAGCGGGGGCAACAAACAGGGTCAGCAGCAGGGTGCCAGGAGCGGCCACAGCACACGGAAGTCTCCCGACGCCCTTTAAAGGGTACCGGGCACTGCAAAACCCAAAGCCAGAACATGCATTTTCCAGGCCTCGTGACCGACGCACCAAGAATTTCCAGTCTCCGTTTGGAAAAAGAACAGCTAATAAATACCCTCTGGAAGGCCACATGCCCAGTCCCCTGGTCTGCATCCTCCTACTCCTAAGGTCTCCTATGGGGGGGGGGGCGGAGAGGCCAAAATATGCTTTCTTCACAGAGCACACAGTATCGGGGGGCGGGCAGTCCAGGTCCGCCGGGGCAGCTGCTGGCTGATCTTTCTCCCACCCTGCCTTGAGCCAGACCTGGGAACAGTCAGGCAGAGAAAGAGAGAGGCCAGCCAGCCAGGCCTCACGTGGGCTGGCTCCGCTGAGCCGGCAAGACACGTCTGAGGGAACCCAGGCTGGCGGGCTCGACTCGCCAGGCCTGGAGGGGCAGCCGGGGGCATGCGAGGGCAACGAGGCGACGGGAAATGGGGCACAGCCGATTGGCACCGGGCTCGCACGACGGGCAAGGGCTGGAGCTCCTCAAAGTATGTCAGAGAGATGCCATGGCAGCACAAGGGACGGGGGGGGGGGGGGCGGGAAAGGCCTGGGGAGGGAAACAAGCTGGTCAGTGTTTCTGTGTGAAAGCGCAAGAGCTGACCAGGCCTCTAAGCTCAGCAGAGGCGCAAAGGACGGCACGCCACTTCCCAGAGTGTAGGAAATGCTGCTCATAAGCAAGATCCGATGCACGAACTGCTCAGAAGAAAGACTTCCTTCCCCAAAGAGTCTGCAAGGGGGTGCTTGTTCCCCAGAGAAGTGGTCAAGTGACAGCAACCTTAGGTCACCCAAACTTCTCAAGAACTCTGAGGAGTTCCTCCTGCGGGTACAATTCTGCTATTCATGTTAAGGTGCTTCCCAGGCAGCCTCTGACCACCTTTCCAAGCTGAGAGAAGGCAGCTGATTTTGCTCCTCTAATATGCCACACAGAGTAACGCGGGTGAGAGAGGAGGAGGAGGCAGGGAACGGTCTGTTGCGGTGGGTTAAGAACACGTTTCTTAAATTGGCAGAATTAAGTTCAGGTTCTGTTTTGGGATGGCTAAAGTAAACTCACAAGCACACCTGGACAGGCTGTCCCACCTCCCTCCCTGGTCAATTTTACACCATCAGTCGCAAAATCCATCTTCCCCAGCCAGAATGCTGGTTGCCTTTTTCAAATCTGGGAGCTCAGAAGCAGTGAACTACTCAAAACTGAGTCAGGTAGAGACAACGCTCCGATCCTGCACAGGTATTGCTAGGTGGCCGTGGGAAAATGCGGGCATTCGTTGGCCTTCGTCCACCAAAGAGGAATATTTAATGTGCAGTCCTATGCCTGTTTCGACAGAAAAGGCCTGGGACATGCTGGGAGTCGCAGTCCTTTCTCCCGTCTAAACATGCACCGCGAGACTGATCAAGCAGATAACTTTAAGGGCTTAAAAATAACGGATGGTGGGCGAGCACCACGGGTCACGGCCTACCTCGCAAGACTGTTGCAGAGCTGGCCGGAATTGCAGAGGGGGCCGCCTCGCCCCGCCAGCACATGGGTCGCGGGCGAGGCAGCGCCACGTCCGGGCGGCAACCGCGGAAGGCCGGCGCCGGCGGCCGGCGGGAACGGGGCGCGCCCTCGCTCTCTCGCTCGCGGGCCGCGCACTCACCCCAGCGCAGGAACTCGGCGATGTGCTTCTCCTGCGCCAGCGGCGAGGCGCGCAGCTCGTGCTCCACGCACAGCAGCAGGTCCACCAGCGCCTCCGGGCCCAGCGCGCGCCGGTCCAGCACCAGCTCCTCCAGCCGCTTCAGCCGCACCTCGGCCGCCATGGCGGGCCCTCGCCC